TAGATGAGACTAATTTGGGAGCCCTCATTTTTAAATGCACTTCAGTGCATTGTTGTTCAGTTGAAACTTTCCACTGTAAGTTATGTTTAGTAAGATTTTGCCATTTCTGTAAGGCTTCGCTGCTTCCCAGGCCTAACACTTATGCAGGTATAAGCTGAAGAAACTCAGTCCTCCTGAAATTAAGGATCTATTTTTACCTAAGATATTGGCTTTGCTCTCAGTTTCCCTTGATCAACTTAGCCAATGATTTTTTTCCTATCTAAGCAAGCAAGAAAAATGAAATAAAGGGGAGGAACAGAAAAATCCCTGTGAATTTTCTTTTTCTTTCTTTTTTTTTTTTTCTTTTTTTTTGAGACGGAGCCTCGCTTTCGCCGAGGCTGGAGTGCAGTGGCGCCATCTTGGCTCACTGCAAGCTCTGCCTCCGGGGTTCACGCCTTTCTCCTGCCTCAGCCTCCCAGTAGCTGGGACTACAGGCGCCGGCCACCACGCCCGGCTAATTTTTGGTATTTTTTTTTTTTTTTTTTTTTTAGTGGAGACGGGGTTTCACCGTGTTAGCCAGGATGGTCTTGATCTCCTGACCTTGTGATCCACCCGTCTCGGCCTCTCAAAGTGTTGGGATTACAGGCGTGAGCCACCGCGCCCCGCCACCTGTGAATTTTCAAAAGCCAAATTTTACAACCCCAACAGTATTACCATGTACTACCAGTTTCCTTCTGGCCTAGTCAGATATAAAAGGCCTCTAACTGGATCCAACCAGTTAATTACCAGATCAAATTTGATCTTGGACCCAGTCCAGTTTCTGTCGCAACTTCCAAACCCAGTTTGGAACAGAAATTTGCTCAAAGAAAGTCAGAAAGCTGGCCGGGCGTGGTGGCTCATGCCTGTAATTCCAGCACTTTGGGAGGTTGAGGTGGGTAGATCACCTGAAGGTCAGGAGCTCCAGACCAGCCTGGCCAACATGAAGAAACCCCATCTCTACTAAAAATATAAAAAATTAGCTGGGCGTGGTGGCAGATGCCTGTAATCCCAGCTACTCGGGAGGCTGAGACAGGAGGCTAAGGTTGCAGTAAGCCAAGATCTCGCCATTGCACTCCAGCCTGGGCAACAAGAGCAAAACTCCCTCTCAAAAAACAAACAAACAAACAAACAAAAAACAAAAGGAACTCAGAGAGCTCAAAACACAAATCTGTGGAACTCTGAAATCTGAGAGAGAACTTACCAGCATCCCCAGGTGCTGTGACAGATCCAAGGACACAGTGGATTCTGCAGGTACCTGACTTGTTCACTCAGCACTACTGGGGGATCATTACAAGCTCTACTTCAGATCCCACTTCTGATACCATCTGTTAAAGGAAAAACTTCAGCAGAATTAAATTTCAAGGCAGCCCCCAGAATCACAGCAGATTCAGAGAGACTCCAGGGATGCCTCATGGTCACAACAAATTTATAGACAAAAGGAGAGAAGTGACGTACAAGAATTGGAAGTGAGGTACAGAAACAGCTGGATTGGATACAGGTTGGCATCTGCCTTATTTGAACACAGTTTGAACACTCAGCAGTGTATGAGTGGTTGAAACATGGCTGCTGGGATTGGCCAAGTTTCAACTATTGTTACAGGTGAATACTCCTAAGTTAGGTTTTCAAAGTTATCTCCCTATTAACTTAGGTTACAGTTCGTCCACAAGGATTCAAATATAGAAGTACAGAGCCCTCCTCAGGCCTTACTTAATTCACTTTAACACTACCAACAAACTAGTCCAGGTTAAAGGAAAAAAAATGTTTTTTGAGATGGAGTCTTGCTCTGCCACCCAGGCTAGAGTGCAGTGGCACAATCGTGGCTCACTGTAGCCTCCACTTCTGAGGCTCAAATGATCCTCTCACCTCAGCCTCCCAAGTAGTTGGGATCACAGGCAAGTGCCACTATGCTGGACTAATTTTTTTATTTATTTTTTGGTAGAGATGGGGGGTCTCACTATGTTGCACAGGCTGATCTCAAACAGGTTAAAAATTTAATGCTACCCTAACTGTTGAGAGGATAGAAACAAAACTACCCCACACATCCTGGCTTCCAGCCTCAGCAGTCCTACTGCAAAGGTATTATACCATACTGAGTTAACAAGAGGATTTACTTGAATTTCACTAGTTCTCTCATGGCCAAATTATTGCTCTTGAGTTTAATGCCTCAGGTCTCTCATCTGTAAAGTGGGTCAATAACAGTAACTTTGGGGGGGCGGGGTGCCGTGGCTCACGCCTGTAATCCCAGCACTTTGGGAGGCTGAGGCGGGCAGATCACGAGGTCAGGAGATCGAGACCACAGTGAAACCCCGTCTCTACTAAAAATACAAAAAATTAGCCAGGGGCTGTGGTGGGCGCCTGTAGTCCCAGCTACTGGGGAGGCTGAGGCAGGAGAATGGGGAGAACCCGGGAGGTGGAGCTTGCAGTGAGCCGAGATGGCGCCACTGCACTCCAGCCGGGATGACAGAGCGAGACACCGTATCAAAAATAATAATAATAATAATAATAATAATAGTAACTTCACAAACTTGCAAAGAGTAAATGAAGAGATGATACAGGTAAAGTGCCTGGAAGAGAGCCTGGCACAGAACACTCGTTAACTTTAGCTACCATTATGACGATTTTGGAAGTCTTTCTTCCTCTTACTGCTATACTCTTTAGTGCCTAATGAAGAAACAAAACATCAATTGCAATTTTGGTGGATTAATTCCTTTCCAGTCAGTGCCCCAGCTCCTTACCGATGTACCCAGCTCTTCACCCTGCCCTTATTAACCGTTTATGCTTATCTGCTCACTTGACACGTGGGGACGTGGCTTGTGCACCAGGCCAGTATAAAGACCTAGATCGACGTATGCTACACGGTTGTGTAGACCCGAGATGTGAACAGTCCCGGGAGATGGGGACAGCGTGGCCAGATCAGAACATCATAACCGAGTTGGGAGACTTCTGAGCTCCAGATGAGTGGTCTCTATGTCCTGTGCATCCTTCGGCAAGGGACTCCATGTATTCGTCTTTCTCTCTTTTTCTTTCCTTTTTTTATTTATTTTTAAATTATTATTATTATTATTATTATTTGAGACAATGTTTCGCTCTTGTTGCCCAGGCTGGAGTGCAGTGGCGTGATCTCGGCTCACTGCAACCTCCGCCTCCTGGGTTCAAGCAATTTTCCTGCCTCAGCCTCCCGAGTAGCTGGGATTACAGGCATGCGCCACCACGCCAGGCTAATTTTGCATTTTTAGTAGCGATGGGGTTTCTCCATGTTGGTCAGGCTGGTCTCGAATTCCCGAGGTCAGGTGATTTGCCCGCCACGGCCTCCAAAGTGCTGGGATTACAGGCGTGAACCACTTCGCCCGGTGTATTACTCTTTCTCTATTGCAATTCCCCTGTCTTGATAAATCGGCTCTGTCTAAGCAGCAGGCACGGTGAACCCATTGGGCAGTTACAACAGGGTTGTAACAGGGTTGCTGCTGTAATGGCCCAGTGGGTTCACCTTGCCTGTTGCCTAGACAGAGCTGATTTATCAAGATGGAAATTGTCATAGAAAAACAGTAATTCACGCAGGGCCGCTGTGCAGGAGACTAGAGTTTTTGTTGTTGTTGTTGTTTTGAGACGGAGTCTCGCTATGTCGCCCAGGCTGGAGTGCAGTGGCACGATCTTGGCTCACTGCAAGCTCCGCCTCTCGGGTTCACCCCATTCTCCCGCTTCAACCTTCCGCGTAGCTGGGACTACAGGCGCCTGCCACCACGCCCGGCTAATTTTGTTTTTGTATTTTTAGTAGAGACGGGGTTTCACTGTATTAGCCAGGCTGGTCTCGATCTCCTGACCTGGTGATCTGCCAGCCTCGGCCTCCCACAGTGCTGGGATTACAAGCATGAGCCACTGCTCCCAGCCTAGAGTTTTATTTTTACTCAAATCAGTTTTCCAGAGCATTCAGGGATCAAAGTTTTCTTTTTTTCTTTTCTTTTCTTTCTTTTTTTTTTTGAGACAGTCTCGCTCTGTTGCCCAGGCTGGAGTGCAGTAGCGCGTTCTCGGCTCACTGCAAGCTCCGCCTCCCGGGTTCACACCATTCTCCTGCCTCAGCCTCCCCAGAGTAGCTGGAACTACAGGCGCCTGCCACCACACCCGGCTAATTTTTTGTATTTTTAGTAGAGACGGGGTTTCACCTTGTTAGCCAGAATGGTCTGGATCTCCTGACCTCGTGATCCGCCCGTCTCAGCCTCCCAAAGTGTTGGGATTACAGGCGTGAGCCACCGTGCCCGGCCAGGGATCAAAGTTTTTAAGGATAATTTGGAAGGTTGGGGAAGGCCAGTGAGTGAAGAGTGTTGATTGGTTGGGTGGGGGATGAAATCACAGGGAGTTGAAGCTATCCTCTTGCCCTGAGTCAGTTCCTGGGTTGCGGGGGAGGGGGCACAAGATCACATAGCCAGTTTATGCATCTGGTGGTGCCAGCTGATCCATCAAGTGTAGGGTCTGCAACATATCTTAAGCACCGATCTTAAGTGCAGTTTAGGGAGGGTCAGAATCTTGTGGCCTCCAGCTGTAATTTCTAAATTACAAAATTTCTAATCTTTGGCTGATTTGTTAGTCCTACAAAGGCAGTCCAGCCCCCAGGCAAGAAGGAAGTTTGTTTTGGAAAAAGGCTGTCATCATCTTTGTTTTAAAACTTCAAACTGTAAACTAAGTTCCTCCCAAAGTTAGTTCAGCCTATACGAGGAATGAACAAGGACAGCTTGGAGGTTAGAAACAACATGGATTTGGGTAGGTCAGATTGCTTTCAGTGTCTCAGTTACAATTTTGCAATGGTGATTTCACTGTGACAATCTTGAGGGACTTCCCACAGAACCCTCAGTTCTTGAAGCCCAAAGCCTCAGAAATGGCGAGGAAGAACGAGAGGGGTGTTAAACTCCACACGGTCTTAGCCGACCTCCGACGCTTTTCCTAGAATGTCTCATCTCTATGGTCGACGGCGTTCAGATTCCGGGGCAGACTAAGTTGTTCTTCCGGGGTGAGTGCCTCTTCCAGGGCGAGCGGTGTGGTGCACGCATTGCTGTGTTCTAACTCCCTCAGGGGCTGTGTTGTCGCACTTTCTGCTGCTATGAGCTTCCTCAAAAGTTTCCCGCCGCCTGGGCCGGCGGAGGGGCTCCTGCGGCAACAACCAGACACCGAGGCTGTGCTGAACGGGAAGGGCCTCGGCACTGGTACCCTTTACATCGCTGAGAGGTAGGGTTCCCGGTCCCCAGCGCCGGCCTCCTGCGTGCCACCCTCCTCCTTGCTGGAGCAGGCGGTGCGAAGGAGCCGGGCAAGGGGCGGCCTGGAGGGCTGCTGGGAGCGGGGGCGCGTGTCCGGGACGCCTCAGGGATACCTGTACCGGCTGGAAGGCTCGATTTTTCTAGCACTCTTCCCGAGTCTTCCATTCTCTATTTTCTCGGGCCGGAATTTCCCCTCATGGATTGTGCTTTTGTTTTTTTGTTTTGTTTTTTTAAACTCGCCTTTTACTGGAGGTCTGGCGCGTGCGTTGCCCTTAACGCACGGTCTCGTTTTAAGAGTCTGAAGTGTGCCTGTCTTTCCGGATGAACAGATGCAGGAGATGTTCCCCTCTGCAGGATACGTAGTTTCAGAGCCGAGTGTGGAGGACTTTGAAAGTTTGGTTACACAATATAGATTTTTTCTGTAGGAATAGTAAGGAGAGGAACATCCTTAACTCGACACAGACAGGGGTCATATGCAGAGGTACCAGACTCCCGTTTTGGGGTCCTGGAAGGAGTTGCCCTTTTATTTGGCCACTTGGAGCACTTTGGTATTTTCATATTCAGATAGATCTACCTTAAATATTGTGGTTGTAGAACCGAGGTCCCTGTTTCCTTGACATTTAGTTCTCTTTATTTTGAAGCCTGTAATGACACATTTAATCTTTCCTGCCCTTCAGATATGTGTTGCTTCCCCTTTTGCTCCATCACTTGTCGACAGCCAGAGAAAATTCTCTAAGAACTCATGTGATTACTTTGGAACCACCTGTAAAATCCGGGATAATCTCCCTATGTTGCTGTCCACTGGTAACCTTAATTAGGTTTGCGAAGTCCCTTTTGCTGTGTAATATAACATATTCACACGCATGACACCAGAAACTGAAGGTCGTGGGGGCCAAAATTTTGCCTACCACAGAATCCAGAGCACAAAAACTGTAAAGAACTGTTGCTTTAAAGGGAAATTTAGACATTGAACAAGGCTTAGGCTTCAGGCCAGTCACTGAGATAGGACATATGGGTGGTAGGAAAAGCAAGATTGAGGTGAGAGGCAGATAATGAGTTTGGTCAGGACATGTGTGGAGTAGTTGTACATACGAGTGTGTGTTGGGCCGGGCGCGGTGGCTCACACCTGTAATCCCAGCACTTTGGGAAGCTGAGGCAGGCGGATCGCCCCAGAAGTTCGAGATTAGCCTGGGTAACATGGCGAAACCCAGTCTCTACAAAAAATACAAAAGTTAGCCAGGCATGGTGGCGGCCTGTAGTCCTAGCTACTCAGGAAACTGAGATGGGAGGATCACCTGAGTCCAGAAGGTCGAGGCACGGTGAGCCGTGATTGTGCCCCTGCACTCCAGCCTAAGTGACAGAGTGAGACCTTGTCTCAAAAAAAAAAAAAAAAAAAAAAAAAGAGTGTGTGTCTTGGGAAAGTGGTATTAAAGATAGATGTTTGGAAGTCGTTGAAGTATTACTGTATACTCATGGAAATGGATTAACTATCTCAGAAGAGAAGAGGACCAAGTGTAGAACCCTAGGGACACACCTTTGGGTGGGTCATAGAAGAAGAGACTTGAGAAAGGAGGAAGGAGCAGTCAAAACAAAATATGAAGAGCGTATATTGAGTATTGACAAGGAAATCTTTGATATTTGGGGAAAGCAGTTTCTTTGAAGTGATGGAAGATGGAGCACAGATACATTCCTAGTTCCCAGGCATTCCTTTTTTATTCATGACATTTCTGTATGTTGACACTTCGTTCAATATTATAACTCCTTTTGAGGGACAGTCCTGTATTGGTTTTTGCATTTTGAAAAATTTCAAACCTACGGTCCGGTGCGGTGGCTCACGCCTGTAATTCCAGCACTTTGGGAGGCGGAGGCGGGCAGATCACCTGAGGACAGGAGTTCAAGACCAGCCTGGCCAACATGGTGAAACCTCATCTCTACTAAAATACAAAAATTAGCCGGGTGTGGTGGCAGGCATCTGTAATCTCAGCTACTTGGGAGGCTGAGACAGAAGAATTGCTTGAACCCGAGAGGCGGAGGTTGTAGTGAGCCGAGATCATGCCATTGCACTCCAGCCTGGGTGACAGAGACTGTCTCAAAAAAAAAAAAGAAAAATTTCAAACCTAAAGAAAAGTTGTAAGTGTTATTACTACCCATACACCCTTCACAAAGATTTATTAGTTAACATTTTGCCATGTTTGTCTGTTTTTCTTTTTTTTCTGAGCCATTTGAGAATTGCAGACATGTTTTCTACTTCCTGTTCAGAAGAACAGGGACATTATCTTGTATAACCACAATACAATTCTCACACCAAGGAAGTATAACTCTTTTTAAGTTCTTACCAGTTTTTTAAAAATTCTTAGCCTGGACAAGGTGGCTCACACCTGTAAATTCCTGCTCTTTGGAAGGCCAAGGTGAGCAGATCGCTTGAGCCCAGGAGTTGTTGACCAGCCTGGGCAACATGACAAAACCCTGTCTCTACAAAGAATACAAAATTGCAAAAATTAGCCGGTCATGGTTGCATGTACCTGTAGTCGCAGCTACTATGGGGGGCTGAGGTGGGAGGATTACTTAAGCCTGGGAAGTTGAGGCTACAGTGAGCTGTGATCATGCCACTACATTCCAGCCTGGGTGACACAGTGAAACCTTGTCTCTTAAAAAAATTAAAAATTATTTGTTTCAGCTTTTCACAAACAAATCTCTTATGTTTCTTCTTTAAGATTATTTTTTATTTATTTATTTTTTTTTGAGACAGAGCCTCGCTCTGTTGCCCAGGCTGGAGTGCAGTGGTGCGATTTCGGCTCACTGCAACCTCCACCTCCTGGGTTCAAGTGATTCTCCTGCCTCAGCCTCCCAAGTAGCTGGGATTACAGACGTGCTCCACCACGCCCAGCCAATTTTTGTATTTTTAGTAGAGACGGGGTTTCACCATGTTGGTCAAGCTGGTCTCGAACTCCTGACCTCATGATCCATCCGCCTCGGCCTCCCAAAGTGCTGGAATTACAGGCATGAGCCGCTGCGGCAGGCCAAGATCATTTTTTGTGTGTGAAACATAAATACAAAAAAAAGAGTATAAATACACACACATACTGTATACATGTATATACAGTCCAGCAGTTCTTCCTCTGAGGCATTGAGGGAGAATGCCCAGAGATAACAAAGCTGGAGAAGAAGACAGTCATGTTCATGAGTTTGGCTTATAGCCTTTAGGCTTTGGTGAAACTATTTAGTTTGAGGCAGAGAGGGACAGCAACAGATTAGGTTTTGGCTAGACTTGGTTTTAGTCTCTCAGATTTGTGTTGAAAGAGTTAGAATCTCCGACTTATTTCAGAGCTTAGTTTTTTATAGGAAGTTGCATTTTCTTTTTTTTTTTTTTGAAACAGAATTTCACTCTTGTTGCCCAGGCTGGAGTGCAATGGTTAAATCTCGGCTCAGTGCAACCTCTGCCTCCCTAGTTCAAGAGATTCTCCTGCCTCAGCCTCCTGAGTAGCTGGGATTATAGGCATGTGCCACCACGCCCAGCTAATTTTGTATTTTTAGTAGAGATGGGGTTTCTGCATGTTGGTCAGACTGGTCTCAAACTCCCGACCTCAGGTGATCCGTCCACCTCGGTCTCCCAAGATTACAGGCATTAGCCACTGCATCTGGCCAGGAAGTTGAATTTTTATCCAAATAAGGAAGATACAGAGGCATGAATAATATAAAATCATTTAAAACAGGTAAAATAGGTTATCACATTAAAATTAGGTAATTTAAACATAAATTTTTTTTGTATCTCATTCCAAAATTAATTTTAAACCAAATAATTAAGTTAACCCAAATTCAAGACCTCTCGTAGCTTCCTGTCCTGTTTTTCATCCCATGCTGGGAATAAAGGACACTGACCATACTTGTGCAAAAGCATTTGAATTCAGCAAAACATTTTCTCTACGTGTTTACTTGGTTTCTAATTCTTCTTGTCTTTCCCTTTTGACTCACAGTTTCTTTGAAACTGGGTATGGTTAATTAGATATTTTAGAAGGATTTCTTCTAGAATATATACAAAGAGTAAATGAAAATCAGAATTTAATGATCAGACAAAACAGTTATATTTTTAGATGATACAGTGAAATCTTTTATGTTTCTCTACAGCACTTTAAAAGTTATAACTTGAATACTTTGAGTAGATTTATTACAATCTCATCCCAGCAAACTTTAATGGCAGCCTATTTCATCGTGGCCTCTGCTAAAATTAGAAAATCTGGTGGTGGTACAACGAATAATTTACGTGCAATAGGATTTAATTTGTTGTTAATAGCTATTTATTAAAATTAAAATTGCCAGATAAATGAATGTACTGTCAAATCTCTTTTTTTTTTTTTTTTTTTTGAGATGGAGTCTCCCCACTGTCGCCCAGGCTGGAGTGTGGTAGTGTAATCTTGGTTCACTGCAACCTCTGCCTCCTGAATTCAACCAATTCTCCTGCCTGAGCCTCCCGAGTAGCTGGAATTACAGGTGCCTGCCACCACACCCAGCTAATTTTCATATTTTTAATAGAGACAGGGTTTCGCCATGTTGGTAGGCTGGTCTGGAACTCCTGACCTCAGGTGATCCATCCACCTCAGCCTCCCAAAATGCTGGGATTACAGGCGTGAGTCACCACGCTCGGCCTATAATGTCAAATCTTTTTTAACATAGTAACATGCTGTTGGAAAAAATAAGTTGTTGAAAGTAAGTTGTTTTTCCATTTAAAAATATCTGTGAATATTAATATATGATATGCCTTTGTAAATCTGAAAAGGTAAAATACAGAAGCCTAGGGGTTTCTTTTCTTTTTTATTAAAAAAAAAAAAATTTAACCATTAGAGTAAGTGTTTTTAAGTGTGGAACTTGGCTTCTGTCCTGTAGAGTGCATAATCCCAGTTCATGTAAAAGATTATGAGAGCTCCATAGCAAATGCTGTGCAGAGGAGCATTTTATTCTCTCTGCACTAGTAAGGAATTACAGAGTTATTATTATGGCTTTTAAAAGTAAAGGCCATAATTTGATAGGCACTGATTCTATGTTTAGGTTTCAGTTTTTCCATGTCCTCATTCAAGTTTTATGGCTCTGGATATTTGAAATTATTTTGGACACCCAAATTTGGAATGTTTCTTTCTGAATTGTGATAATGCCAGAAAATTTTTGAGATCAGAAAAGGGCAGTTTATTTGCTTTAAAATCATATAGCTTTTGTAGGGGACTCATGATACTTGGGTATTATTTCATCTCCACATTAAAAGGAAGGCAGTGAGCAGGAAAGATGCATATAGCACATAACTCATTACATAATACAATGTTTCTTTGGAACCAGTAGGAATGAGTTGTTCTGGAAAATAATTTGTAGAGGTTTTATCACTTTTAGCTCTTTAAGATTTATCACTTTTAGGCCAGGTGCAGTGGCTCAGGCTTGTAATCCCAGCACTTTGGGAGGCCGAGGTGGCAGATCACCCAAGGTCGGGAGTTTGAGACCAGCCTGACCATCATGACCATCATGGCAAAACCCTGTCTCTACTAAAAATACAAAAATTCGCGAGATGTGGTGTCACAGGCCTGTAATCCCAGCTACTTGGGAGGCTGAGGCAGGAGAATCGCCTGAACCCCGGAGGTGGAGGTTGCAGTGAGCCAAGATCATGCCACTGCACTCCAGCCTGGGTGACAAAGCGAGACTTCATCTCAAAAAAACAAAAACAAAGATTTATCACCTTTAAGCTTCTTACATTTCCTTTACTTTTTTTTTTTTAAAATAAGAATGTTGAATGGAAATCTTTCCATATGACAGTGCAATACTTACTTTTGCCTTTTTAAAGTAAACAATTACATAAGTTTTAGTATATTTGCAGATTTGTACAGTTATCACCACAATCTAATAATCTGCCTTTGTTTTGGTAATGCTTTTGGTAACTGAGGGTCAGGCGTGTTTAACACTCATAGTATGTGGTTAGACATTGATTTCCTTTAGGGGAACTGTGGTGTAAAGTTCATCCTCCCCTTCCACTGAACATGAATGATCTCAGACTGTCACACTGTCATTGTTCCTGCCCAAGGCAGTCCTAGGTTCTCCTGTTTTACTTTTGTTTTTGCTTGGTTAAAAATTAGACAGCCAGGCTTGTTAAAATTGTATAGAATATAGAATGATACATGGGTCTTACTTCATTAACTTTTAAAAATAATTCATATAACATACCGTTTAACCATTTAAACATACAATTCAGTAGTTTTTAGTCTGTTTACAGTATCGTGCAATTATCACCACAATTTTAGAATATTTTCTTCACCCCAAAAAGAACCTGGTACCCATTAGCAGACATTCCTATTTCCTTCTAGCCCTAGGCAACCACTGTATTGCATTAACATTTTTTTTTTTAGCTTCTTCAGGATTTTTTACTTTTTTTCTGCTAAGTGGTACAGATGGATGAAATATTATCAGAAAATTAGCTAGCCTCTACTGAAAGCTCAACATACTGATTTTGGTGATGTGCTTCCTTTGGTACACCAATAAAATATTTGCATTTGACCACATTTGAGGGAAAACTAGGCCTAGCTTTTCTGTGGCTTTCTCTTAAAGATGTTGAATAAATGAGAGGCTTCAGGGAGTCTGTCTCTCAAGGTAATAAATATTCCCTGAGTTGCGGTGAGTGTGATGACACCCATTTATGTCTTTTAGTGTAGGATTCATGGAGAAACGAATGATTACCAAGGATTTATTGCATACTTACCTCCTGAGCTCTTTGTTAATGGTTTTGAAGAATGTTAAATAAAGGAATGTGACGAGTCCTGCTGTCAAATAGCTCATATTCCATAAGGGCACATATAAGACTCACTACCACAGAGTTAAGTACTAAAATTTGCAAATCAGAAAAAGAAGCGGTCTTTATGGACTGGTGTAGTTGAAGGGAGGCCTCATGGAAGAGGGGAGGATTTGCAAAAGCAAAGAGGGTATTTGAAGACATATCAAAAAAGAAGAAGCTTGAAAGTCATAGAAACATACATGTGACTGAGGAAAATGGAATTTCAAGTCTGTTTGAATTTATAGCTAGAGGGAAAGAGACTTTAACAGAATTGATCTTAAAGAAAATTCTATTTCCACTACTGAATTTTCTTTTTTTTTTTTTTTTTTTTTTGAGACGGAGTCTCACTCTGTCACCCAGGCTGGAGTGCAGTGGCCGGATCTCAGCTCCCTGCAAGCTCTGCCTCCCGGGTTCACACCATTCTCCTGCCTCAGCCTCCCGAGTAGCTGGTACTACAGGCGCCGGCCACCTCGCCCGGCTAGTTTTTTGTATTTTTTAGTAGAGACGGGGTTTCACCGTGTTAGCCAGGATGGTCTCGATCTTCTAACCTCGTGATCCACCCGTCTTGGCCTCCCAAAGTGCTGGGATTACAGGCTTGAGCCACCGCGCCTGGCCTGAATTTTCTTATTTTATGAACATTTCTAAAAAAGTAAGCTTGAATTTATTTATATGCATAAAGGTGTCCAAGCTGAACTTTTATGTACTTTGTGATATTACATTAGGATTTACTTTCTAAAACTAATCTACTTAAAACATGTTTTTCAGCCGCCTGTCTTGGTTAGATGGTTCTGGATTAGGATTCTCACTGGAATACCCCACTATTAGTTTACATGCATTATCCAGGGACCGAAGTGACTGTCTAGGAGAGCATTTGTATGTTATGGTGAATGCCAAATTTGAAGGTATGTATGGTGTAATTTAATCTAATGCCTCCTTTGATAGCAAATTATATTTTAAAAAAGAGTGTTTGATAATAATCAATGTAACATTGAGGCCATTGACTCATTTTGGATAGTAGTTTATTAAGCAAAATTTCAGCACAGCAACTTGGACAGTTGAAGTTTTCATAATGGACGTTTGTGTGTGTCTGTATATATTTCTATATATTTACACTTAGAATTCTTCATTTATTATGGATATGTATTTCTAACTTTCCTCTAAAGTTTCACTGTTTATTCTGCCTTTCTCTTTTTAAAAGGCACCCTTAGAGACTTGGATCAGTATACCCTGTGCTTCTGAGAATTTAAGATAGAACTGTTCTGTTTTGTTACAATAGTGGTTATCAGTGGGTGTAGGGGGAATATATTTTTCATAGACCTCCACCAGCCTCACCATTCCCCCACATTTGGCAGTGACATTTTGGTTGAAAGAGGAAGGATATTATTGGCATCTAGCAGTTAGATGCCAAGGGTGCTATTATTGTACTAAATATTCTGCTATGCGCAGATGGTCCCCCACAACAAAGAATTATTCCATCCAAATGTCAGTGGTGCCAAGGTTGAGAAACTGTAGGATATAAAGATTTTCAAGTTTTGCTTTGGGATAATTGCAAAGACTTGTAAAAATCTAGTGAAGATGTTCATGTTTAAAATAATGGGTTGCTTTTCTTTGAAGCAGTGTGTAAGAGACAATCCCATTTATTTACCTATAAGACTATTGCTCTTTCAAATTGGGATTTTAATATGGTTCCAGATATAATAATATGATCATTTATATTCAGTTGTGACACTATTTAGTAATTCTTAGGACTTTTGGCAAGCCCTGCCTCATTAAGTGGTAATGACTGATTCAGCTATCTGAAAATATTTTTGTTATAAGATTTCCAATTCTTGCCGTTGGAAAAGGTTCAAAGACATTTAAAAATCTAGTGAAGTCTGAAAAAGAGGATTAGGAAAAGTAAAAGGCTGTTAACCCTGGGGTGTAGTAGTGTAGTAAGACTTCCTAATAAGGCATTAGATACAAAATTTGCTTTTCATCTAAGTAAATGCAACTATGATTTTATAACTAAGAATATCATGTGTCATGTTTAGTTTAAAGCATTCATTGATTTCCAGAAATGCAAAACCTTAGAGGTACTCTTGCCAGTCAGCTCCAAATGCTGGTGTGAAATGGCCCTAAATAGTGACGGGCATTGGAGGTGGGAAAGGTACATATCAAGAGAAAGGCTTAGGAAATAGTGTTTAATAATAAAGGGCAAAAGCACATTGAATAAGAAAACTCTGTCATTAGGCCGGGCACAGTGGCTCACACCTGTAATCCCAGCACTTTGGGAGGCCGAGGCAGGCGGATCACCTGAAGTCAGGAGTTGGAGACCTGCTTGGCCAACATGGTGAAACCCTGTCTCTACTAAAAATACAAAAATTAGCTGGGCCTGGTGGCGGGCGCCAGTAATCCCAGCTACTCGGGAGGCTGAGACATGAGAATCGCTTAAACCCAGGACGTGGAGGTTGCAGTGAGCTGAGATTGCACCACTGCACTCCGGTCTGGGCAACAGAGCAAGACTCTGTTGAAAAAAAAAAAAAAAGTAAAAACTCTGTCATTAACTTGCTAGGCAAGTCATTTGCATCTCTCTGAGCCTGAATTTCATCCAGAAAGGTTAAGGGAGTATATTGGTCTCTGGTTCTCAAACTCAAGACTAACGGATACATATTAGAAATACGTGGGAAGCTTGTTTAAAATGCAAATGCTGTAAGTCCTAAACTAGGAAAAAGCAGTTCAGTAGGTTTTAGGGTGTGTGTTTTAAATATGTGCTCTATAATCTTACAGAGTCTATATGATTATTTGATTGTAATTGATGTGATTATGATTAATCCTTTCTTAGTAAAATATGCAGGATTTCCTATCTTACTAGAAATTAGTATCTTCCTGGGTCACATTTATTTCACTAATTCTCCAGTTTTTTTTATTTTTTTGAGATGGAGTCTTGCTCTGTTGCCAGGCTGGAGTGCAGTGACGCGATCTCAGCTCACTGCAACCTCCGCCTCCCGGGTTCAAACGATTCTCCTGCCTCAACCTCCTGAGTAGCTGGGATTACAGGCACCCACCGCCATGCCTGGCTAATTTTTTTTTGTATTTTAGTAGGAGCGGTGTTTCACTGTGTTGGCCAGGATGGTCTCGATCTGCTGATCTCATGATCCGCCCACCTCAGCCTCCCAAAGTGCTGGGATTACAGGCGTGAGCCACCTCGCCTGGCCCTCCAGTTCTTTTTATCTTAAACTCCTCTCATAAATTACACATGCTTGAATCATATTTTCCCAGCCTTTGTTCCTCACATTCTGATTCTCCAAATTCCAAGATTTTTTTTCTCTTTGGCATACCTCTATAAGTCTCTTTATAAATGACCATCAGGACCGAGCACAGTGGTTCACATCTGTAATCCCAGCATTTTTTTTTTGAAACGGAGTCTCACCCTGTCACCCAGGCTGGAGTGCAATGGCGTGATCTTGGCTCAGTGGCTCACACCTGTAATCCCAACCTTTTTTTTTTTTCTTTTTTTTTTCTTGAGACGGCGTCTCGCCCTGTCACCAAGGCTGGAGTGGAATGCTGTGATCTTGGCTCACTACAACCTCCACCTCCTGGGTTCAAATGATTCTCCTGCCTCAACCTCCTGAGTAGCTGGGATTACAGGCGCCCACCGCCATGCCTGGCTAATTTTTGTATTTTTAGTAGAGACGGGGTTTCACCATGTTGGCCAGGCTGGTCTCGAACTCCTGACCTCGTGATCCGCCCGCCTCGGGATTACAGTGCTGGGATTACAGTCCTGAGCCACCACGCCCAGCCACAATCCCAGGATTTTGAAAGGCCAAGACAGGACGATCACTTGAGCCTAGGAGTTTGAGACCAGCCTGGGCAAATCGTAAGACCCCATCTCAAAAAAACAAAAATTAGCAGGGTGTGGTGGCAAGTGTCTGTAGTCCTAGCTGCTTAGTAGGCTGAGGTGGGAGGATCGCTTGAGCCTGAGAGGGCAAGGGTGTTCAGTCTGGGCAACAAAACAAGTCCCAGTCTTAGAAAAAAAAAAGATGACCATTAGCTCGTTGTGGATGAGATTAGATTATCTTAAAAATAACCTTAAAAATTCATTCCCGGCAAGGCGTGGTGACTCACGCTTGTAATCCCAGCAGTTTGGGAGACCGAGGTGGGTGGATCTAGAGGTAAGGCGATCGAGGCAACGCTTTTCTAGGATGCTCACTGGATAAATAATCAGGATTTTTCAACCATAATTGGAAATAAATTTGTCAACCATAATTGGAAATTAAAACTGAATTGCAGTATTCAGATTTATCAATACGCTTCATTTTTTAAAAGTCAAATAATGACATTAAAGGGGTGTTTTTATTTTCTAGAAGAATCAAAAGAACCTGTTGCTGATGAAGAAGAGGAAGACAGTGATGATGATGTTGAACCTATTACTGAATTTAGATTTGTGCCTAGTGATAAATCAGCATGTGAGTGTTCTACAGTATTGATTCTTCCCCTTTTATGTACCAAGCATTCCCAATTCACACACACACACGCACACACACACACACACACACCCTCTCACCTTTACCACCATTACCTCCATTTTACTACTTTTTCTTCATTTTAGCATTGGTAATATTGAGGACCAAATACTTATTAACATCAAAGGTTGTGAATGTAGTGAGAATATTGTAGACACTGTGTTATCTGGGTTTATTTTGTGAATGGACTCTTGTTAGTTTTACTGATTGGTGCTGTTGACTTAATCTCACCTGCTGGATGGCAGAGGAGTTACAGCAGTTTTAAAGTGGAAGATCTCAGGATGGCTGGAAAGAGCCCTATCAGCTGAGAGGGGCTTCACCCTGATGCCAGCAGTCTTACCAGGACTCTGACCCTTTTTTCTTGGAAAACCCCATGAGCCATGAAGAGATCGTAATAATCTCTCATAATGAACTCTTACTATTTTATGACTTGTCCTTTGCTTCAGCCGCTTTCAAGATTGATTTTACAATTTGGCAAGTTTGTAAATACTGTGGCCTTTTGTGTACCCATTAAATTTATTGGCACTGATGGTTATTTTTATTATAAAATTTTATTCTACATTGAAAAAAAAATTGGTTACAGTTTAATTCCCTTGTTCAGTGGAGGCAATGTTCACTGCAATGTGCGAGTGCCAGGCCTTGCATCCAGATCCTGAGGATGAGGATTCAGATGACTACGATGGAGAAGAATATGATGTAGAAGCACATGGTTAGTGAAATAGATTTTAAAGTGTTTTTTTGTTTGTTTGTTTAGTGTTTCATTGTAAGCATTTATTTGTATTAAGGGTAGAGGATTATAGTTCTTTATATGTCTGTAAAATATGCAGTATGGTAAGATTATTTTTATTATTATTATTTTTGAGACGGAGTTTTGTTCTTGTTGCCCAGGCTGGAGTGCAATGGTGTGGTCTCGGCTCACCGCAACCTCCACCTCCCAGGTTCAGGCGATTCTCCTGCTTTAGCCTTCCAAGTAGCTGGGATTACAGGCATGCGCCACCACGCCAGGCTAATTTTGTATTTTTAGTAGAGATAGGGTTTCTCCGTGTTGGTCAGGCTGGTCTTGAACTCTCGACCTTAGGTGATCCGCCTGTCTCGGCCTCCCAAAGTGCTGGTATTATAGGCATAAGCCACTGCACCTGGCCGGTAAGATTATTATTGAAAGAGAATGACACAGTAGTACACTTTATGCCAAAGCCCTTTGCAACAGACAAATTTTTGAGGGTAAAAAATAGAGATTGTTGGGAAGAATGGATAAGTAGAGCATATGGAAGGAAAGAAAATGGTAGATAGGAAACTGGATAGTCAGGAAAGTCTTTTAAGCTGAGGCAACTGCCCCCAGGGAACAAGCTTCCCTCTCTACACCTTGAGAACCTGGATCATTTATGTTGTTTTATTATTATTATTATTTTGCAACAGGGTCTCGCTCTGATGCCCAGGCTGGTGTGCAGTGGCGTGATTTCTGCTCACTGCAAACTCTGCCTGCTGGGCTCAAATGATTCTCCCAGCTCAGCCTCCTGAGTAGCTGCGACAACAGGCTTGTGCCACCATGCCTGGCTAATTTCTGTGTATTTTTTGTAGAGACTGGGCTTTGCCATATTGCACAAACTGGTCGACTCTTGGGCTCAAGCAAGCCTCTGGCCTTGGCCTCCCAGAATGCTGAGATTACAGGCATGAGCCATCGGGCCTGGCCTGCATCTTTATTTAACATGTTCCTTCAAACAGCTCACTGCCAAGGTCATTTCTTTTTCTCAGAACCATACTTCATTTATTTTTCTCAGAACTATACTTCATTTATTTAAGAACTCTTTCCCATTGCCTTCCCCAGACCAGAATGCAGTCACTAGTGTGATAAGAGTCTTTATAGCTTGAAGTGCTTGCTGTTCTCTTTTCTTTTCCCTACTGGTCTTATGTACACCATTCTGGGTATCCAAAGCCCTTTCTTTCATGTGCACCCACTTCCTGGCCTTAGATAAACACATTTCTGGGATTCTCCATCACATACCTAAATATATCCAAATATATCCTTACTTTTCTGAGATTTTTGAGTGATTTAAAATTTTTTTATTATTTTTGTATGTTGCAGAATTTGATTTTTTTTTTTTTTTTGAGATGGAGTCTTGCTCTGTCGCCCAGGCTGGAGTGCAGTGGCGCGATCTCGGCTCTGCAAGCTCCGCCTCCTGGGTTCACACCATTCTCCTGCCTCAGCCTCCCGAGTAGCTGGGACTACAGGCGCCCGCCACCTCGCCCGGCTAGTTTTTTGTATTTTTTAGTAGAGACGGGGTTTCACCGTGTTAGCCAGGATGGTCTCGATCTTCTAACCTCGTGATCCACCCGTCTTGGCCTCCCAAAGTGCTGGGATTACAGGCTTGAGCCACCGCGCCCAGCTAATTTTTTTTTTTTTTTTTCTGTTTTTAAATAGGGTCTAGCACTATTGCCCAGGTTGGAAGGCAGTGGTACCATCACCACCCACTGCAGCCTTGAGCTACTGGACTAAAGCTGTCCCACCCCAGTCTCCCAATTAGCTGAGACTACAAGTGCACACCACTGTGCCTGGCTAATTAAAAAAACATTTTTTTGGAGAGATGAAGTCTTACTATGTTGCCCAGACTGATCTTGAACTCCTGGGCTCAAGCAGTCCTCCCACCTCGGCCTCTCAAAGTGCTGGGATTACAGACGTCAGCCACTGTACCTGGCCCTGATTTTTTTAAAGAAAGGAGCATGTTTTTTAATCAGAAAACATCTTCATTATACAAGTTAATGTCAAATTAATTTGTGCTCACTTGTAAAATTCCCACCTCAGGTTAATGTAGGACTCTCTCTGACCTTAGGAACACAGTTTTTTTTTCTAGTCCTTGGACATGGAATTCTTTGGGAATTGCTATTTACTGGCTTGTTATCTCTTTTAATAGCCCTAGAGAGTAGGGACATTTTCTTTGTATTTCCATCATCAGCAGTAGCCTATATATGTGTATAAATAAATGTTGAAAAGTATCTTCCTGGAAGCCTATTTGGACTGTATGTTACCTTCAGCAGATTCTTTTTTTTTTTCAAAACAAAATCTTGCTCTGTTGCCCAGGCTGGAGTACAACGGTGCAGTCTCGGCTCACTGCAGCCTCCATCTCTGGGGTTCAAGCGATTCTCCTGCCGCAGCCTCCTGAGTAGCTGGGACTACAGTTGCGTGCCACCACGCCTGGCTAATTTTTGTATTTTTAGTAGAGATAGGGTTTCATCGTGTTGGCCAGGCTGGCAGCAGATGCATTATTGATTCCATTTTGTTTTTTCTAATTGTTGTATTTAAACTTTAAGTTTTCTGTTTGTTTAGAACAAGGACAGGGGGACATCCCTACATTTTACACCTATGAAGAAGGATTATCCCATCTAACAGCAGAAGGCCAAGCCACATTGGAGAGATTAGAAGGAATGCTCTCTCAGTCTGTGAGCAGCCAGTATAATATGGCTGGGGTGAGGACAGAAGATTCAATAAGAGATTATGAAGGTGAGTGTTCTTTTGCATTGTGAACAGTCAGATGAGCACTTGGGAAATAAGTTATGGATAGTCATAAAAGTTCTTTTAATAACTAAGAGAAATAATTGACTGTAGTATAGGAAGCAGATACAGAATTACATAGTGTGGGAATGCTTATGTCATTTGTTTTTGGTTTTTTTTTTTTCCTCATTACCAAAATAGTCTGTTCATAGTCAAAAACATTCTTTTAATGTGCGCAGGCAAAGTAGACGTGAAAAAAAAAAAAAAGTGTAATTCTAACTGAGAGATATCCACTATTAATTTTCTGTTGCATCTCTGTATTAGTTTACTAGGGCCATTATAACAAAGGGTCATACAGGCTGGGTGGCTCAAACAGAATTTTATTGTCTCATAGTTTTGGAGGCTAGAAGTCCATGGTAGGTTATCTCTGAGGGCTGTCAATTCAGGCATCTCTTCAGGTATACACACACCCACCAAAGCAAGAGAGAGAGAGATTTTAAGAAATTGGCCCACGTGACAGAAGGCTGGCAAGTCCAAAATCTGCAGGGTAAACTGGCAGACTGGAGACCCAGAGAAGAGGTGATGTTGCATTCTGCTGCCTCAGAAGTTCTGCTGGCAGAATCTCTTCTTGCTCAGGGGAGGTGAGTCTTTTTCCTGTTGAGTCCTCCAGCTGATTAAATGAGACTCACCACACTATGCAGGGTAATCTGCTTCACCCAAAGTTCACCAGTTTATAAGGCTAATCTCATCTAAAAAATAACTTCCACAGAAACGTCTAGAATAATGTTTGACCAACTATCTGGACACCATTGCCTAGCCAAGTGGATGCATAAGTTTGACTATCACATCGTTCTTTTTTTTATTTTGAGACGGAGTTTCACTCTTGTTGCCCCAACTGGAGTGCATTGGCATGATCTTGGCTCACTACAACCTCCGCCTCCTGGGTTCAAGCGATTCTCCTGCCTCAGCCTCCTGAATAGCTAGGGTTACTAAGGCGCCTGCCACCACTCCCAACTAATTTTTGTATATTTAGTAGAGACAAGGTTTCACCATGTTGGCTTAAAGTATGCACTGGCAAAGAAGAGGTAGAAAAATTAAATATAATTCTGAGAGGCATTTACTATTAATTTTCTGTTGCATCTCCTTTCTTGTTTGTGTCCTTTTGTGTGTGTATATACACTGATTCTTTTTGTGTGTGTGTGTGTGTGTGAGAGCAGAGTGTCGCTCTGTTGTCCAGGCCGGAGTACAATGACGTGCCCTCAGCTCACTGCAACCTCTGCCTCCCAGGTTCAAGTGATTCTCCCACCTCAGCCTCCCGAGTAGCTGGGATTACCCACTACTATCATGCCTGGCTAATTTTTGTATTTTTGTAGAGATGGGGTTTCACCATGTTGGCCAGGCTGGTGTCGAACTCCTGACCTCAGGTGATCCGCCTGCCTTGGCCTCCCAAAGTGTTGGGATGATAGGCATGAGTCACTGCACCCAGCCATGATTCTGTCTTATTTATTTATTTAAGACGGAGTCTCACTCTGTCGCCCAGGCTGGAGTACAGTGGCATGATCTTGGCTTACTTCAACCTCCACCTCCTGGGTTTAAGAGATTCTTCTGCCTCAACCTCCTCAGTAGTTGGGATTACAGGCATGCGCTACCACGCCTGGCTAATTTCTGTATTTTTAGTAGAGGTGGGGTTTCACCATGTTGGTCTCAAACTCCTGACCTCAGGTGATCTGCCCGCCTTGGCCTCCCAAAGTGTTGGGATTACAGCATGAGCCACTGTGCCCGGTCAAGATGTTACCTTTTTTTATTACGGTAATTGCCTAAAGAGTGCCATGTGGACGCTTACTTCTTGCCTTATAGCAAATGATTTTAAGGTCATAAATACTTTTTGCTAAGTTGAGATTTTTGGACTTTTATTCAATAAGCCTCATTAACACATTGGAGTTGCCTATATATAAAAATTCTTCAGCCTGTGCCAGTCTCCATCTCTGAAGTCCTGAGCACCCACATCATTATTTTTGCCAGTGAAACACTTTTAGTGTGGCATTTTTAGTGCTTCATGTGCTCCTTTATAAAGTAAGAGGTGTTTATTGAGCTGTACCAGGTACAGGTAATACAGCAGTACTCAAGGGATGAGGTTACTGACTTCATATCAGTGACATTCTGGTGGAAGAAAAGTTAACAGTACATTGAGATACAGCATTGAGATATAGAAGGTGTAAGGGCTGGGCCCTTTGCCCAGCCTGGATAGTTAGGGAAAGTGTTAAGTTTCATGGAATAAGTGACATTTAAGTCAAGATCTGAAAGATGTATAGAGATGGCCCAGGTGGGCTGGGCATGTTTTCTCACACCTGTAATCCCAGCACTTTCAATGGCCAAGGTGGGCATATCACAAGGTCAAGAGATCAAGACCATCCTGGCCAACATGGTGAAACCCCATCTCTACTAAAAATACAAAAATTAGCTGGGCATAGTGGCGCATGCCTGTAGTCCCAGCTACTTGGGAGGCTGAGGCAGGAGAATCTCTTGAACCCAGGAGGCAGAGGTTGCAGTGAGCTGAGATCAAGCCACTGCACTCCAGCCTAGTGACAGAGCAAGACTCCGTCTCAAAAAGAAAAAAAAAAAAAGGCCCAGGTGAAGATGTTGAGGGGAGATGCAGGTAAAGGGATTAGTCATGTGCAAAGAAGGGTTCAAGAGACTACTCAGATTTGGGGAACTGAAAGTAGTTCAATGTGAAAGGTAGTTATTATGGTAACAGATAAAGGTAGGATAGTGAACTGGGTAACGTCTTAGAGGAACTCTTAGGTCAGTGGGAATCCATTGAAGAATTTTATTAGTGTTTCAGAAGGTGACTGTGGTTATAATTTGGAAAACTGATTGGAGAAGAAAAATACTGGAGAGAAAAAGAGAAACCCTGTTGTGTGACTTACATATTAAATAAGAGGTGATCACTTAAATTAGGTAGTGGCAGTGAATATCAAAAGACCTGACAGATTTCAGACTCTGAGGAGATAGAAGCAACAGAAGTTAGGGGCTTGGGGTAAGGCTTTCTAGTTTAAATGGATAAGAGGCACCCTTTAGTAAGACTGGAAAAAAAATGGCATTTTTTTTAATGTGGAAAGATGAATAGTTAATTTAGATATGTTAGATTTGCATCTGCAGGTGACGGGGTGCCCTGGGGCTGTGGGCAGAAGACATTTTTTGGTGGGCGGAAGAGTTGAGGGGTGACTGGGAGGTGAGGAAGCGAAGAAAACAGCTGTAGATGACTCTTTTTTTCTTTTTGGAGATTTTTTTTTTTTTTTTTTTTTGTGCACTTGTGGCCCAGGCTGGAGTGCGATGGTGCAATCTCAGCTCTCTGCAACCTCTGCCTTCCTGGTTCAAACCATTCTCCTGCCTCAGCCTCCCGAGTAGCTGGGATTACAAGCACCTGCCACCATGCCCGGGTAATTTTTTTGTATTTTTAGTAGAGACGGGGTTTCACCATGTTGGCCAGGCTGGTCTCAAACTCCTGACCTCAGGTCATCTACCCACCTTGGCCTCCCAAAGTGCTGGGATTACAGGCATGAGCCACCGTGCCCAGCCAAGACAACCTCCCGTGGGGCATTAGTCTGTTTTCACACTGCTGATAAAGACATACCAAGACTGGGCAATTAACAAAAGAAAGAGGTTTCACTGGACTTACAGTTCCACATGGCTGGGGAAACCTCACAATCATGGTGGAAGGCAAGGAGGAGCAAGTCACATCTTACGTGGAAGGCAGCAAGCAAAAAGAGCTTTTGCAGGAAAACTCCCCCTTATAATAACCATCAGATCTAATGAAACTTACTCATTATTATGAGAAAAGCGCGGGAAAGACCTGCCCCATAATTCAGTTACCTCCCACTGGGTCCCTCCCGCAACACATGGGAATTCAAGATGAGATTTGGGTAGGGACACAGCCAAACCGTATCAGGGCTCTTGTTTTTTTCTCTTGTTGCCTCCCCACCTTTTATTTAATGAGATGACAAAAATGGGGAAATAAGCAAAAAGCTTGCTGTACTGATTTTTGTCGTTTCTCCTGAATTATGTTGTAAGCTTTGTGAGGATAGGGCCGTATACATTTAAAAAAAAAAAGCCCAGCAGTAAATACTTAGATCTGTAAAGGGTGAACAGTTGATCCTGCATTTGAAAGTTCCTACATAGAGTTATTTTAGTATTGAGGTTGAGAATTTACACAGTAAATGTCACAGACTGATTTTGATGTGGCCTAAATCCCCAGGTAGCATTTTCTTTCTCAGTTTGTCCTTTCAGACTTTTCTTTTCAAAAAAGAGGAAAAAGCAATTCTTACCAGCAGATGGCACTAGCTTCCTTCTGGTAGAAGTTGTAAGTTGCATCTACCTGTTTGAAGCCTTCATAGGGATTGCTCAGTAATTTTTTTGTTTAGATGGGATGGAGGTGGATACCACACCAACAGTTGCTGGACAGTTTGAAGATGCAGATGTTGATCACTGAAAATGATTTATGCAGGTTTAAGGTGAGTAGTTCATTTTCTCCCTTGTCACTGAACATGAAAATCATGTGAAAAGATTACTTCCTACCTTTTTTTTTTTTTCTTTTTTGAGACAGGGTCTTACACTGTCACCCAGGCTAGAGTGCAATGGCATGATCCTAGCTCACTACAGCCTTGAACTCAAGCAGTCCACCTGCCTCACCCTCCCAAGTAGCTGGGACTATAGGCACACCCAGCTTATTTTAAAATTTTTCGTAGAGACAGGGTCTCATTATGTTGCCCAGGCTGGTCTCAAACTCCTGGCCTCAAATGATTCTCCTTCCTCAGCATCCCAAAGTCCTGGGATTACAGCTATGAGCCACTGCGTCTGGCCTATTTCTTTTTCTTTCTTTAAAAAATATTTTTCTTCTTTTAAAGCTCAAATTGTCCCTGACAATTTATTTGCTATTCCATTATTCTGAGAAATATATTGTCCTTTGCCAGCCTAAGTATTTCAACTATATGTTAGATAATAACTGAAGGTCATGTTCATATCATACAGAGCTAGAACTAGTAATTGTAATAGTCCTTTATAAACTGTTGTTAAATTGTTGTTCCTCTTTCCCCACTACAACTTCCTCCTACCTTATAGCATTGTTTTCTTGAATACTGGCTATCCTCCAGTCTTTGAGATGCTCTTGCTATCCTCCTCTTATTTTACTAAAGCATATAATAATAGCGTGGCAAAATTTATATGTTTTGACTTGACTCTGCTACCACTATCAGTCATCCAGTTAAGTTATGAGATCCTTTGTTATTCCCTGCAGTGATAAATATTTCAGAATTCCTTCTCATTTCTTCTGATACAGATTTTATTTCTGAACCTAGTTCTGTAATCATTGGCTTTTCTCCAGTTACAAGTTTTAATTCTTTTACCCCTGTTCTATTTCGTTTCAGAAACCAGCCTTTTAAAGTTCCAGTTAGCTTCCAAGTTACTGCCATTGTGAAAACTGTATAACATTGCTTCTTATACTGACCATGAATTGTGATATTGGACCTCTGCTTTCTTCTCACGTCCTGCCAGTGGAACTATCAGAAAATAACCTCTTAGAGTTCTATGATTTATATCTTCCCTTAAATACTTAATTTTAATTTCCACATTTACATTTGTCAGTGGTAGCCATACAGTCTAATATTAGCAATGTCCCCTCTGTTAAAATCATGTGTTCACATCACTGGAGCTCTGTTAACTTTGATTTTTAGCTCTCCCAGTTCCAATTGTCAGTAACTTCACTGTTCTACTTCATGGGAAATCTTTTGTTATCAACTTAAGTCTTCTTTCCTTATTTCTCGTCACATTATAGCATATTAATTTTTTCAGTTCAGTGATACTTGTTTAGTAACTGTTTTATTGCAGTTAGAAAACAGATTTTGGGGTCTTTGGGCTTTCACATATTTCTTTTGAAGAACAGACTGTTCAGAGAACATCAGCCACTCTTTTATTAATCAGAATCATGAGAAACTCATTTGGTATGTCACTAACAGTTAAACAAATGGGGTGTTACTGCAGTCCTTGGCAAGAATTCTTAGGATTCTTTTTAATGGTGAATTAGCCACAAACTTTTCAATGAGCTTTGTTTTCTGTTTATTTTATCCTAGAGCTCAGAGGCAGAGAATTATTTTATTCATAATGTTTTTTTTTTTGAGATGGAATCTTGCTCTGTCGCCCAGGCTGGAGTGCAGCGGCGTGATCTTGGCTCACTGCAACCTCCACCTCCCGGGTTCAAGCGATTCTCCTGCCTTAGTCTCCTGAGTAGCTGGGACTACAGACGCGTGCCACCACGGCTGGCTAATTTTTGTATTTTTAGTAGAGACGGGGTTTCACCATGTTGGCCAGGATGGTCTTGATCTCTTGATCTCGTGATCCACCTGCCTCGGCCTCTCAAAGTGCTGGGGTTATAAGCATGAGCCACTGCGCCCTGTTTATAATGTATAAACATTGTAAATAATGTTTATACATATTCTTCATCTGGATAATTGATCTGAATTCCAAACAATGTCTACATTTTTTTTTTTTTCTGACATGGGAGTCTCACTCTGTCACCCAGGCTGATGTGCAGTGGCACAGTCTCGGCTCACTGCAACCTCTGCCTCCTGGGTTCAAGTGATTCTCCTGCCTCAGCCTCCTGAATAGCTGGGATTACAGGCGCCCACTACCACACCCGGGTAACTTTTTTTTTTTTTTTTTTTTTTGAGACAGAGTTTCACTCTTGTTGCCCAGGCTGAAGTGCAGTGGCGCAATCTCAGCTTGCCAAATCCTCCGCCTGCCGGGTTCAAGCGATTCTCCTGCCTCAGCCTCCCGAGTAGCTGGGATTACAGGCATGTGCCACCACATCCGGCTACTTTTGTACTTTTAGTAGAGATGGGGTTTCTCCATGTCTAGTCAGGCTGGTCTTGAACTCCTGACCTCAGGTTATCCGCCTGCCTCGGCTTCCCAAAGTGCTGGGATTACAGGTGTGAGCCACCACGCCTGGTCCTAATTTTGTATTTTTAGTAGAGACGGGATTTCACCATGTTGGCCAGGCTTGTCTCAAATTCCTGACCTCAGGTGATCCACCCGCCTTGGCCTCCCAAAGTGCTGGGATTACGGGTGTGAGCCACCACACCTGGCTGTGTAAATTTTTAATCATTTAAAATTATACATGCTTCTAAAGAATGAACAAGGTATAAATAATTAGAGTAATTTATGCAGCCGTTTATTAATTTCATGATAATGGAACTAGGACTTCTCAATGCATGAGGTGGGGTGGAGATGGCACATTAATGGTGGAATCACAACTCTGCCACATACTTGTGTACACCTTTGGACAAGGCATATAACTTATTTAATCCTCACTTCCCCCATCTGTAAAGTGGAGAGGATAATAACTACCTTGCAGGGTTGTTGCAGAGGCTGAGATAAAATGTACCTAAGTCCTCTGGCACTCTGTGACTAGGCATTCAATAAATAGTAGCTATTATTATTATTACTATTGTAAACACTGTGAACCTTTTGTTTTTCAGATTCTGCTCCTAACTGTAGGAGAGAACTTGGTGCCTCTTCCACTCTGGAGTGAAGTTGATGAAAGTCTTTTTCCTTTTCCACAATCCAACCTGAACCAGTTCCTTCTTGAGACAGACTATACTGAGACAATAAGTTGTCACCAGCAGAAGATAGATAATATGACCTTTATTAACTTGATGAATTAACTTAACCAAGAGGGTATTTGTAGTTTATTATTTACCCCAAAACTTTCTGTGTCTGGGTACCCTCTGAGTAGGCCTATAATTTCTGCCTTGACTGTGTGCATCTTTTGTAAGCTAGCAGATTTATGTGGTGAAAATGCACAGGAGCTTGGTGTAGGTAGACTGGGTAGGAAAGAGAGAGCTCCTTTTGCCATGTTTTACCAGTCTGCTCTTATAAACTCTTAGGTTATATCCTTTAATTTCCAGCCTTTTAGGTTAGTTTCTGTAACAGAGCAAGTGAGTCTTGGATGAAGTCCTCAAAGTACTTCAAGTGGTAGTTGTTTTGTTTTTGTAATAGCTTAACAAATAAACCTAGGTTTTCTATATTACTGTGCTCTCATTCTTGACTAAAACCATTAATGAGAAATGTGTTTTTAAAAATAATGCTGACAAATATGAGAATTTTGTTGGCTTTATTTTTGTTTACTTATTAAGGAGAACATGAAATAAAATACAGCTTCTGGCAAGTATTTAGTAAGGCAAAGATTTAACACATTTCAGGGGATTTCTGCCACTTCCTTTTAGATTAGCAGTAATTTCTTGTATTTATCAACTCTCAATTTTTAGTTTTCATAGATTACCTGGGTATTACAAGGCTGATTTGTAATTACTGATTTATACTTGGACTTTTGATACCATGATGTGGCCTTAAAAATAAGGTTATACAAGCTAATCTTACTACCAGAATCACTTGGCTAATTAGTGACTAAACTGATGTTTGGTGCCACTCAGCCCAGTGTTCGTTTTAGCATTGTCACTTAGCTTCCCTCAGCTTGCAAGGTAGACTGAAAAAAAACTAATTTTCCTTTTTCTAACCAGACTCTCAGAATTTCTGAGTCTGTTAACAATAGGCAAGTAAAACAGCCACTTGAAATGGAAACTAAAATTTACTGAGACCTTCTCTGTACCAGCCACTGTCCTGAGTTCTTTATTATGTATTATAATATTCTTAATTACCTTATGAGATACACTTTTATCCCACTTTATAGTTGAGGAAACTGAGTTATAGAGAGAGGTAAAATAACTTGCTTAAGGTCATGTAGATAGTGAACTGTGATTTTTGAGCCTGTGCTTTAAAACATCATACAGCCTCACCATCTACCAGCAGCAGAAAGCACGCACACTCTCCCCACTGCTGCAGGGTTTCAACGTTAACATTCCAATGGCAGTACACTGCTGCAGGGTTTCAACGTTATGGCAAACACTGCTGCAGGGTTTCAACGTTATGGCAAACACTGCTGCAGGGTTTCAACGTTAACATTTCAATGGCAGTACAAGAGCTTCCCAAGTTTCTCTGCTACCCATCTGAGCAACACCCATAATTCTATCCTAGGAGTTTGTGCACTCTTCAGTAAGCAGTCAGGACATTCTCAAGGCTAGTATTATAAATTCCATTTGAGTTCCTTTTAAAAGAAACAAATTTGTAATTGTGACTTTCCATGAAGCATAAATTGCTCTGATAGCAAAATGTTGAGGAGATTCAGAGTGTACTGGGTTTCTTATTGGTGTTGCTGTGGTCAATGCAGTATGCAAAAAGGCAGGAGACCAAAGCATGTGGGCACCTCTCTGGGCTTATTTCCTCATTAGACTAAATGACTTTCAAAGATTGAGCTATAACATTCACTAAATAGTAAATTAGAACTGTAGCATTGAGAAAATAGAAGCTGAGAAAAAAGAGCAGGCTAGGCTTTTAAAAGATAACATTTATAATGATCAGCCAGACAATATTTATTGATTTCATTTAAGCCTAACTTTAGGGTTGCCGTAATTGTTTTCTTTGTGTGTTCCTGATGTAGAGACACTTTAAAGGTACATAGACATTTCCCTTCCAAAATGTAAGTCATCTAAATGTTCCTAAAAGCTAGAGTTAGTGGTTCTCTGTTCTAGGTTCTATCATTTAAAAAATGTATTCATTAAGATATGGTCCCACCCAGACGTGGTGGCTCACACCTATAAGCCCAGCACTTTGGGAGGCTGAGGTGGGCAGATCAATTGAGGTCAGGATTTCGAGACCAGCCTGGCCAATATGGTGAAACCCCATCTCTGCTGAAAATGCAAAAATTAGCCAGGCCTGGTGGTGGGCACCTGTAATCCTAGCTACTCAGGAGGCTGAGGTACAAGAATCGCTTGAACCCAGGAGGCAGAAGTTGCAGTGAGCCAAGGCTATAAACTTGTTTAAATCCTTAATAGAGGCTGGGTGCAGTGGTTCACGCCTATAATCTCAGCACTTTGGGAGGCTTAGGCAGGCGGATCACCTGAGGTCAGGAGTTCAAGACCAGCCTGGTCAACATGGTGAAACCCTATCTCTACAAAAATACAAAAATTAGCTGGGTGTGGTGGTGGGGCACATCTAATCCCAGCTACTTGGGAAGCTGAGGCAGGAGAATCCCTTGAACCTGGGAGGTGGATGTTGCAGTGAGCTGAGGTTGCGCCATTGCGCTCCAGCCTGGGCAACAAGAGCAAAATTCTGTCTCAAAAAAAAAAAGATGATGTATTTTTGAGGTTCTCTTAGGAGCTTCCTCAATATTGGTAAAGGTGAGAGATTATGTGCAGATGACCATAATATACAGGTTGAGTATTATCTGAAATCTGAAATTCCCCAAAATCTGAAACTTGAGTGCTAACATGATGCCCAAAGGAACTGCTCATTGGAGCATTTGGATTTCAGATTTTCGGATTAGGGACGCTTAACCAGTATAATGCGAATTATTCCAAAATTTTAAAAACATTCCAAAATCTGAAATACTTCTGATCCCAATAATTTCGCTTAAGGGATACTCAATCTGTATAGTCCTTTACTTTTAGAAGACAGGTATGATTACTGCTCAGAGATAATAGATATTTAGATAGAATTTATCTGCAGGATTTCAGATGGGTTCACTATTATATACCTGATTCTCATGCAAATCCTGTTTTAAAAGTATAGAATGGATGAATCCATATCTGGGACTCATCTTTTGTGACCAGTAACTGAATTCTAAGCATTGTCTCTCATGGGGATCCTCATAGAATTATTGCCATCCCTTTATGAAGGAGCTGGAGCATATTTTCACTAACATCTCACTCTGTTCATATTTACACAAGTAAAAATCAGTAGGGGAACTTCGTAATTTCAAATGACAAAAAAATGAATTATTTTGAAGATTACATGAATCACTAGTACACGTAAAGCACTTAGAACAACAGTGCCTAGAATATAGCTCAGTAAATGGTAGTTGTTAACTAATAGTAGTAATCCTTTTCATAACAGAAAGCAGCAGCTACAAATATATCAACTCACTATTTAGAATACATCTGATTAGCTTGAAGTTTAAAAATCCACTGAGCAATTAAAGTAGACATCATAAAATCTATACTTATTTTGCATAGGACCTCACACCTTCACTGCAAATCTCTACTCTTGCTCTACAAACAGGTTTAATGTACTTGAATATCTAGTTTCTAGGCACACAATGGGTTTGACAAGGAGAAAAAGGTGCTTATATTCCCACAAAATATAGCAGTCTAAGCCTCTATAGTAAACAGTACAAATATGAGGACAGCGTAGCAATTTATGTTCATAAAATTATGACCCTGTATCAACCCAAATTATGATTGTAAATCCAAATCTGACTAAGCAGAATTTTTTTTTTTTTTTTTTTTTTTTTGAGATGGAGTTTCGTTCTTGTTGCCCAGGCTGGAGTGCAGTGGCATGATCTTGGCTCACCGCAACCTAAGCCTCCCGGGTTCAAGCAATTCTCCTGCATCAGCTTCCTGAGTAGCTGGGATTACAGGCATGTGCCACCACACCCCGCTGATTTTGTATTTTTAGTAGAGACAGGGTTTCTCCATGTTGGTCAGACTGGTCTCGAACTCCCGACCTCAAGTGATCCGCCTGCCTTGGCCTCCCAAAGTGCCCGGCCTTTGCCAGAAATTTTTTATTAGAAAGCTATCTGGTAGCTCACTAAATGGACAGGAAAGTTGAAATAAACCAGGCTTATAAAAAGATGAAATCTACATTAGATGTTATGATTCCTCCACTGCTGTTAGACTGATTTCTTGATTGTCCCTGTGTCTATGAGTCACCACACTTAAGATACAAACTTCTGGTTGGCACTGTGTGTCTTCATTGCCAAGGGCAGAAGGAGTATCTGGGCCTTTCAGCTTCTACAATAGAAGGACACTGCTCCTGTGCAGATGCTCACAGGAGTGGATTACGCCAGATAAGAAGGATGCTTAGATGCTGGATTGAAAAAAATGTACAGCTGTCTACTACAACCCCAAATCTTAAAAAAAAAAAAAAAAAAAAAAAAAAAGTTGCTCTTCTGTTGCACATGTGCAGGCATGGAATAAGCGAACAGTTGGATTTAATCAAGTTGAGGCTAAGCTCTGTATGAGATAGAGGAGCAAGGGAGTTAAGGGTATATGCATGTGATGATGACTGGCCAAGTAAGCTGCTTAAGGAAAAGAGGCTACTTGAGAGGGGTGAGAGATGTGAAAAAGTGGTGTTATCAGTGGACAGAAGTTCCATGTGGGGGTCAAAGGATCACTGGAGATGGGGTCCTAAAGAGACTGAGCTGGAAAGGGGTCAGTGATTGGAGAGTAGGGTGTCTGAGTTCATATAATATTTCAGTTATTGGTAGTAAGTTCAAGGTTACCACCAAAATTGCAGGTGAGGCAAAGCAGAAGACAAAATTATTGAAGGAGAGATCCAGTGAACTCCAAGGCCATGAAGCTGGAAGGATCATCTTTGTATCTGTCACCAAGAAGTGCGACTGTGGTGGTGGTAGAGAGTGAGACGGGAACTAAGATCTGAAAGGAACAAAGGGGAATTGAGGGGACTATATACTAGAAGACTGCAACAAGTACCCAGGTAACTGATGACATGTTTTTAATGGAAGAAGCAGAGGAGAATGGATGAGCAGCAGCAATGAGGACAAGGAAATCTACTCTGCCTCCAGGCACAGTGGTATACTAAGTGTGGGAGAGAAAATAGCCACTACTTGAGAGGGCTGTAGAGGTAGTAGTGTCATCAGAAGTCACAAACTCCAAAGTCTGACAGGTGAAGTTCAGAGGGTTAGGCGTTTGCACAGATTAATACTCATTTTTCTTTTTCTTTTTCTTTTTTTTTTTTTGAGACGGAGTCTCTCGCTCAGTCGCCCAGGCTGGAGTGCAGTGGCGCGATCTCGGCTCACTGCAAGCTCCGCCTCCTGGGTTCACGCCATTCTCCTGCCTCAGCCTCCGAAGTAGCTGGGACTACAGGCGCCCGCCACCACGCCCAGCTAATTTTTTGCATTTTTAGTAGAGACGGGGTTTCACCGTGTTAGCCAGGATGGTCTCGATCTCCTGA